TGAGAAGGTACTTGAGGGCCGCTGTGGAGTGTCACCTAGGGTGAAGAGTAATGTGCTAGTGGAACCTGCAGCTGGCACAAGTTTGCCGAAAGGACTCTTAGTGGCTCACGTTCTTGCTAAAACAGACTGTGGAAAGGTCCCTGTGCGTATGCTGAACTTGAGTGGAAAGACCATTAGAATTGCACCCCGATCTAGAGTGGCTTCTGTTTTTAAGCCAAAAGAGGTGGTCACAAAGGATGTTCTTGAATTGGAGGAAGATGACGGTGTACTTCATGTCAAAGAATTAAAGGAAGACAAAGTTCAGGCTGATAAGAACTTACTCATGCAGCCACCAGTTCCAGTTGAAGTAAACTATGAAGGTCTCACACCAGCACAATGTGAAAGGCTCGTCGAGTTGTTATCAAAACACAGGGATGTCTTCTCCAGAGATGACCAAGATTATGGTTACACCACAGCTGTGGTGCATGAAATCCCTACTGGCGAAGCACCACCGATAAAACAGCGTCATCGTAGAGTACCACCACAGATATTTCAAGAAGTCAAAAGGCATGTCCAGAACCTGGTGTCCCAGGGAATCCTCAAAGAGAGCAGCAGCCCCTGGGCATCACCCGCAGTTATCGTAATGAAAAAAGATGGCAGTGTGCGTTTCTGCTGCGATTATCGAAAGCTGAACCAAGTGACGTATAAGGACGCTTATCCGCTTCCACGGGTGGATGAGTCCTTGGATGCGTTGGGCAACGCCAAACTGTTCTCTACACTGGATTTGACTGCTGGGTATTTCCAGGTGGCTGTGAGTGAGAAAGATAGGGAGAAGACAGCCGTCACCACCCCATTTGGGCTGTTTGAGTGGACCAGGATGCCGTTCGGGTTGTGCAACGCTCCGGCCACCTTTCAGCGCCTGATGGGTGTGGTGCTGGGTGACTTGGCCTTCGACATTCTTCTGGTCTATCTGGATGATGTCATTATCTTCTCAAGAGCTTTTGAAGGCCACTGTGAGAGGTTAGAACTTGTCTTTAACCGGCTAAGACAACATGGTCTGAAGTTAAAGCCAAGCAAGTGCTTCCTTCTAAGGCCTGAAGTAAAGTTCTTAGGGCACCAGATCTCCGCAGAAGGCATAAAAGTGGATGACGAGAAAGTTAAAGCTTTGGACACATGGCCAGTTCCCAGAAATGTGAGAGAAGTCAGGCAAGTGCTTGGTTTTATGAGCTATTACCGAAGATTTGTCCCAAGGTTTGCTCAAATTGCCAAACCACTACATGCATTGGTAAGTGGAGGAAAGAGAAGCAAGACCCCAGTAACAGTCACTTGGAGCCAAGAATGCCAGACCGCGTTGGACGAGTTGAAAGGGTCCCCACCAACCCCACCAATTCTGGCATATCCCGACTTCAGTGAGCCCTTTAGACTTACCACTGATGGAAGACTGGGAGCAGGACTAAGAGGTTCAGAGAGGAATGACAAAACTATAGTGCATTCAAGTTGGAGCTGCTTGCATTAAAGTGGGCGATCGCAGAAAAATGTAGAGAATACCTTATGTATTCAAAATTCACTGTGATTACTGACCATAACCCGCTACGGTACCTCTACTCAGCTAATCTTGGCGCAGTTGAGCAGCGCTGGGTCTGGCCGATGGCCGAGTACGACTTTGAAGTATGCTATAAACCTGGCCGATACAACACGAATGCGGATGAAGGATCCCACCGGAGGAGGGCGATGATGGAAAGGATTTCATCCGGCTAGGAGCTGACGAGGTGAGAGCATGCTTGTGGCCAGGCAAGAGGATTGACCAAGAGGAACCTGAAGTTAAAGCTGCGGTGCAAGCATCAATAAGAGAAGAAATAAACGGATATAGCTGGAGCGAAATAGGAAAGCAGCAGAAGAACGATCCTGTGATTGGCCCCATTTATAAAGCAGTATCCGAGAACAAGAGACCGAGTAGAATGTATCACAGTTGTATGGAGCCAAAACTGAAGAAGCTTGCCAAGGAATTTGACCGTCTTAAGTTGCGTCAGGGAGTGCTGTTCAGACGTATCCTGGACCCTAGGGATGGGGAAGAATGTTAAGAACCTTGCCTCCAGAGAAGAAGAGAGATTGGAAGACTCACCTTTCAGAGCTGGTAATGGCTTACAACAGTCACGTCCATTCATCTACTGGTTATTCTCCATTCTATTTAATGTTCGGAAGGGATGCAAGGTAAAATTACAACTATTTGTAACGGGTATATTATTTTGAAAAGAGATTATCTTTGGGATACTTTTATTTTGGCGAGTGGTCCGCTTTTTGAGCGTGCTGCAAGTGCAGCAGGGAGAGACGAAAAAGAGCGCAGTGTATGAGTGTGTCACACACACAAGTGAGTGCAGTGTTGTGATCGTTGATGCTTGTTGAGACAGTTTATCTGTGGGATATTTTTACAAGACTGAGTGAATTTTTGAACTTACACACTTAAAACTACTTGATCTTCAGTTTATTTCAACGCACTCTACGTCCAGTCAACGCCCTCTACTTCATCGTTCTATGGTATTCCTCTCATTTTTTCCGTTTTTTTAGTGACTGAACTGATAAACAGGGAACTGTGGTAATTCAAGTGGACTATGGAACTCGAGTAACTGTGAGTAAATCGTGAACTGTGAGTAAACATTTGAAGGGACGTTTCATATAAGTGCTCATTCTGAGGTGAGATTTCATTGTGTATGCTTTGTTTTTTTTGTTGGTGTTTTCAAATGTGATTGTGTCTGTTTGAAGGTGATCATTTGAAAAGGTGAGAATTTGTGGGTTTACCAATTGACAAATCGCAAGTGATCTCATTTTGAAGTTTCATAAGGGATTTGTTATACCACAAGTGAAAAGTTTTCAACTGTTGTGTTGAAGGTGATTGTGTGGGTTTGAAAAGACAGCACAAAAGACTGTAAATTATTTTTATGATTTTCATTTAATCGATTACTCAAACAAGAAATAATTATTCATAAAAAAAAATAAATCTAAAATAATAAATTATGTTTAATTCCTTTTTGCACTTATCTACAGTGTACCTTTCTGTTGAGAGCTGTCAGGGAGTGGGGGAGTCTCACTTACTTTATTAGATCTGGGAAGGGAGGAGCATATCACACTGTACTCTCATGTATGCAATTTCACTTCAGGAAGCCACCGTGTAACGTTACCATACCTGAAGCCTACCCTTGTCAATCAGTAGTGTTCCAACACAATAAGGTAAGAAACCACATACACACGTTAGTGTGTAACGAGACTAAAAAGTTTGGGGAGCGGGGACCAAGATCCTTTCGTTGTCCAAACTTCCAGGGCAGCCGTAATCCATTTCCCCTACACAACGGGCTAAATACCCCCGTTACAAAAGTGGCGTCACGAACAGGATCGAATTAGGCACATTTAAGTAGTCACACGTCTCCAGGCCCACAAGTTGTTTGTTGTCAAGTAAGAAGATGTCTGAACTGGAGGAACTAAAAAAAGAGATGGCAGAGATGCAGAGGAGGTTTGCCGAGCAGGCAGGGGCACTTGACCAATCCAGGGCGGAGCAGAGAGAAGCCCTATCCTTAGCAAAGGTGGTAATTGAGAGCCAGGCCTCTGCGCAAACGACCCCAGCTGCCATTTATATCCCTAGAGACCGGAAGCTCCCTGATTTCACTGGTTGCGTATCAAAACCAGGAGAGCTGAATATTGAAGAATGGGTGGCATCAATGAAGTCTGCATTTCAAGTCATGAGGGTGCCCACTGAGGACCGGGTTGAGCTGGTGAAACAGCACCTAAAAGATGAGGCCAAAGCCACAGTGAAGTTCATGATGGACGGAAAAGAGGAGTCTGTTGACAACATCTTCACTGTTCTCCTTGACACTTATGGAGATAAAGTGCCCATTGGTACAAGGCTGAAAGACTTCT